ACAATGAAAAAAAGCTATTGATTAACTGAACAAACGGATACAAAAAGCGAATTCAAGTCCAAATTGCGGGGCGTCTTGACGGAAAAGAAATTGCACGCGTCGAATGGATTAGAGGGGTAGAGTTCCTTTACAAACCATTTTCAAGCTTAAACATTGGGAGTATTGGCTTCGTTATACAGTTTAAAAACTATTTATTGCGGGTATTAGGCATAAAAAATTTGGACATTCTTTAGATAAAAAAGAATAAACCTTTACTGACTTGTTCTTTACATTTCTATCCATGATTAGAACAAAAAATGACCAAACTCTTCCATTTCGTTTTTTTGTTTTAATCAAAAACAAAAAAGAAGCAATTTCTAATTGTATTTCTTCATTCTAATTGTATTTCTTCTAATTCGTATTCTTTTTCTTCTATCTTCTTATAGGATTGAATAGAACCCGCGGTTCGATTTTGATGTTAGTTCTATGCTTAGTGTGCGACTCGTTGCGGTTTTTATTTGGGTCCAAGGGTTAAAAAAAAAGGAACTGACCTGTACTATGAACTTAAAAATATAAGTAAGTATGCAAACTTAATAACCAGCCCAGCGGCTTTGTAGTATCTCGATCCAAAGAAATTGTTCAAGGACATGATTATATGCCATTATCATTTGTAGCCATTGAAATTCTTTTTGCACAAACAAAAGACAAAACCAATCTGATTATGAGTTGTTAAATCAAAATATAAAATTAGATGATAAGTGGAAGGGTGAAAGAAAGAGAGAAAGAGAGAAAAAGGAATATCAATGATATATGATTTCTAATATGTAAGGTCTTATGAGTCATCACATTAAAAAAATTATAAAAATTTAATTGTAATAAAGCTAGCAATACCAAATAATGTAATAAAGCAGCAATACCAATTGATTTATAATTAAACTAATCTGTTCATAAAAAAAAAAAAAATCAAGAGCCTCGAGTTAATAAAGACTAAGCAGATTGACGCAAAGACAAGCTTGGCTCCATTGTAAAATTAAGACCTAAGCATTAATGAAGAAGCGATGAGAACGACGGAACCTATAATATTTTATTGATTTATTGAAAAAAAATCATAATAATTTATTGCTTTTGGCGGGGTAGAGCGAAAGGTACCAGAAGACTAATTTAGTTAGAGATCATACCCAGACTATCTCTACAAATGAAATAAATATTGAAAGAGTCAATATTCGCGCGCGAAGTTTATTTAAATATAAATTCTATTGGATAAAACTATTAGGGAATTATGATTATCAGAATTATGAATATCAGATTGCTCAAATTTAGAAAATCCAATAATAGAAAAATTAGAAAAAATAAGCATTATGTAAAATAATTTTGCAAAACCAAATAAAATAGAAAAAATATCTTATAATTAAAAATTATCATATAATATAATAATATAAAAAATAATAAAAAAAAAAAGGAAAAAAATAAACTATATTAAAAAAAATAACTATATTAATAAATAATAACTATTAACTACATATATATAATATAATATATTATAGTTATATAAATTTATATAGTTATATTAATATAAGATATAATATTTAGTTATAGTTAAAATAAAAATTATATTTTAATTTAAAATTTCTATTCTACTAATCTAATTCAAAAATTCTAATAAAAAAATACTAATCTATAAAAAAAACTAATCTAATAAAAATAGATCTAATAAATAGATTAGATTAAGTAAATAGATTAAGCGTAAATAGATTAAGCGAAATCCTTTCAAAGAATCCACGATTATAGGTATATTATTTTATTCAGCAAAACGCATGTTATATTTTTTTTTCTTTTATCATTTCATTCGCGAGGAGCTGGATGAGAAGAAAACTTCTCATGTCCGGCTCTGTAGTAGAGATGGGAGTGGCTGTAGTAGAGATGGGCTGAGAAAACAAGCATCACCTAACAACCCCCAAAGGCCCCGATTCCGGCAAACAGCATTAGAGGACGAAATGAAAGGAAAGCTTTTTCGAGGCTAATCGCTATTTTCTTTTCGGTAGAAATTATGCTCTTCAGGCACTTGAACCGTAGATATGCTCTTCAAGCACTTGAACCCGCTTGGATTACATCTAGACAAATAGAAGCGGGGCGCCGCGCAATGACACGAAATGTACGCCGTGGTGGAAAAATATGGGTACGTATATTTCCAGACAAACCCGTTACGGTAAGACCTACAGAAACACGTATGGGTTCGGGGAAAGGATCTCCCGAGTATTGGGTAGCTGTCGTTAAACCGGGCAGAATACTTTATGAAATGAGCGGAGTAGCCGAAAATATAGCCAGAAAGGCTATTTCAATAGCGGCGTCAAAAATGCCTATAAAAACTCAATTCATTATTTCAGGATAGGAATATAGAACCAAAGGAAAGAAGTCTTGTCTTGGGAATAAAAAAACAATTGCGAGTTTCCTTTTTTTTTTTGACAAACAATATTTCTTTTTTTCTTCGTCCTTTGTTACATTGAAAAAAGAGATTTCAAAAATGATTCAACCTCAGACCCATTTGAATGTAGCAGATAACAGCGGGGCCCGAGAATTGATGTGTATTCGAGTCATAGGAGCTAGTAATCGCCGATATGCTCATATTGGTGACGTTATTGTTGCTGTGATCAAGGAAGCAGTACCAAATACACCTCTAGAAAGATCAGAAGTGATCAGAGCTGTAATTGTACGTACTCGTAAAGAACTCAAACGCGACAACGGGATGATAATACGATATGATGACAATGCTGCCGTTGTCATTGATCAAGAAGGAAATCCAAAAGGAACTCGAATTTTTGGTGCGATCGCCCGGGAATTGAGACAGTTAAATTTCACTAAAATAGTTTCATTAGCTCCCGAGGTATTATAAGACGAGACCCAAGTATAGTTAGAGTATTTAGAGTATTTAAATGGCATAGATTAATTAGTAGATTGTGTCTCACGTATATACCTTTACTAAGTAAAAAAAAAAGACCACGTTGGTTATATCAAAATTCGGGAGCAACAAAAATTTTAGTTTACCATGGGTAAGGACACTATTGCTGACATAATAACCTCTATACGAAATGCTGATATGAATAGAAAAGGAACGATTCAAATAGGATCTACTAACATCACTGAAAACATTGTTAAAATACTTTTACGAGAAGGTTTTATCGATAACGTAAGGAAACATCGGGAACGCAACAAATATTTTTTGGTTTTAACCCTACGACATAGACGGAATAGAAAAGGACCACATAGAACTATTTTAAATTTACGACGGATCAGTCGACCAGGTCTACGAATCTATTCTAACTATCAACAAATTCCTAGGATTTTAGGCGGGATGGGGATTGTAATTCTTTCTACTTCTCGGGGTATAATGACAGACCGGGAGGCTCGACTAGAAGGAATCGGTGGAGAAATTTTGTGTTCTATATGGTAATCTGTCCGGTATACGAATTGTATCCGAAACTCTCCATTTGTGCAAAAAAAAAAGAAAAAAGCACGGGTTGTCTAATAGAACTCCTCCTGCCCTACGGTAGTTGATACGTCAAGGAAGTTTTACCTGGAATAAAAGAACAAAAAAATGGATTCATGAAGGTTTAATTTAATTAGTAAATCACTCCCACTCTGGATTCCTTTAGATAATGAAGATCTGATTTTAGGTTATGTTTCGGGAGAGTTTTACCAACGTGGGATAGAGTCAACAAAAGTGAAGTAAGTGCTTATGATTCAACCAGGGGGGCGTATAATTTATAGACTTCGCAACAAGGATTCGAACGATTAGGTAGTTTTTTCAACTTCAAGATTTCTTTCGGGGGGATCCAATTCAAATTTCAAGAAAGTTATTTTCTTCCAATAAGCGAATTCGGAAAAATTTAAGGAATAACAACTATGAAAATAAGGGCTTCCGTTCGTAAAATTTGTGAAAAATGTCGCCTAATCCGTAGGAGGGGACGAATTATCGTAATTTGTTTTAACCCGAGACATAAACAAAGACAAGGATAATCTTTCTATTCTAAAAAGAACTCCTGAAAGAAAAGAAACTAATCTTAAAGAAAGCGATAAACAAATAAAAATAGAAGATCTGTTTTGACATGAAATGGATATATCCATATATCTCTGACTTATCTTTATGAAATGATAAAATATGGCAAAACCTATACCAAAAGTTGGTTCACGTAGGAATGGGCGCAGTAGTGCACGGAAAAGTGCACGTAGAATACCAAAAGGAGTTATTCATGTTCAAGCAAGTTTCAACAATACCATTGTTACTGTTACAGATGTACGGGGTCGGGTAATCTCTTGGTCCTCCGCCGGCACTTGTGGATTCAAGGGTACAAGAAGGGGGACCCCTTTTGCTGCTCAAACCGCAGCGGGAAATGCTATTCGAGCAGTAGTAGACCAAGGTATGCAACGAGCGGAAGTTATGATAAAGGGTCCTGGTCTCGGAAGAGATGCAGCATTACGAGCTATTCGTAGAAGTGGTATACTATTAAGTTTCGTACGGGATGTAACCCCTATGCCACATAATGGCATGGATTATATCCATAGACTTTCTGGACTTAATGAGATGATTAAAAATATGGCAAAACCTTTACAAGAATTGGTTCACGCAGAAAATGGGCGTGTTGGCTCACGGTAAGAATTGCGCGTAAAATACCAAAAGGGGTTTATTCATGTTCAAGCAAGTTTTCAACAACCACTATTTGTGACGTTACAGACGTACGGCGGTCGATAATTCTTGGTTTCCTCCGCTGGCACTTTGCGGATTCAGGGGCACAAGATAGAGGCACGCCATTTTTGCTGCTCAAAACCGCAGCAGGCAATTGCTATTCGGGACAGTAATGGATTCAAGGGTATTGCAACAAGCCAAGAAGTTGCATGATAAAAGGCCCTGGTCTCGGACGAGATGCGGGCATTAAGAGCTATTCGCAGAAGTGGTATACCTATTAAGTTTCGTCCGGGATATAACCCCTATGCCACATAATGGCTGCAGGCCCCGCCTAAAAAAAAAAAGGCGTGTACATCCGTAAAAAAAATTATGAGAAGATTTTCAAGAGAAATAAATGAATTCACATGATTTCACAACTATTTATTATGGTTCGAGAGAAAGTAACAATACTACTCGGACACTTGCAGTGGAAAATGTGTTGAATCAAGTAACCCCTATGCCACATAATGGCTGTAGACCTCCTAAAAAAAGACGTGTGTAGAAATAAACACTAAAGAGATTTCAAGAGAAATAAATGATTCAATGATCTGATCAAATAAAATAATATTACTATGGTTCGAGAGAAAGTAAAAGTCTCTACTTCGACTCGGACACGACAGTGGAAGTGTGTTGAATCAAGAACAGATAGTAAGCGCCTTTATTATGGACGCTTTATTCTGTCTCCACTTATGAAAGGCCAAGCCGACACAATAGGCATTGCGATGCGAAGAGCTTTGCTTGGAGAACTAGAAGGAACATGCATTACACGTGCAAAATCTGAGAAAATACCCCACGAATATTCTACCATAGTAGGTATTCAAGAATCAGTCCATGAAATTTTAATGAATTTGAAAGAAATTGTATTGAGAGGGAATTTGTATGGAACTCGTAACGCCTTTATTTGTGCCAAGGGTCCCGGATATGTAACTGCTCAAGACATCATCTTACCACCTTCTGTGGAAATCGTTGATAATACACAGCATGTAGCCAGCCTAACCGAACCAATTGATTTGTGTATTGGATTACAAATCGAGAGAAATAGAGGATACGGTATAAAAACGCCAAAGAACTTTCACGACGGAAGTTATCCTATAGATGCTGTATTCATGCCTGTTCGAAATGCGAATCATAGTATTCATTGTTATGGGAATGATAATGAAAAACAGGAGATACTTTTTCTAGAAATATGGACAAATGGAAGTTTAACTCCGAAAGAAGCACTTCATGAAGCTTCTCGCAATTTGATTGATTTATTTATTCCTTTTCTACATACGGAAGAAGAAAACTTACATTTAGAAAACAATCAACACGATGTTACTTTACCTTTTTTTCCGTTTCATGATAGATTAGTTAAACTAACAAAAAAGAAAAAAGAAATAGCATTGAAATATATTTTTATTGACCAATCAGAATTGCCTCCCAGGATCTATAATTGTCTCAAAAAGTCCAATATACATACATTATTGGACCTTTTGAATAACAGTCGAGAAGACCTTATGAAAATTGAACACTTTCGCATAGAAGATGTAAAACAAATATTGGGCATTCTAGAAAAGAAGTAGAAAAAGCATTTCGAAATTGATTTATCAAAATTTTGAATCCAATGGATTTTGAACCTTCAGCACAATCCATAGATTCGGACCAGAATTGAATAAATGTATCTAGGGAGAATTCACTTTGCCTTTGAAGTGACTACTCCCTAGACACAGTTGAATCAATTTAAAAAAGACCTAAAGTTAGAGATTTATCAATAGGTAATGTTGCTCCAATACCTAACCAAAGAGCTACTGCGGTACCGATCAAAAAGACTGTTGTAGCTACTGGACGACGAAATGGATTTTGGAATTTATTAACATTCTCCAAAAAGGGTACTGTTAATAATCCTGTTGGTACTGAAACCATTAAAAGAACACCCAATAATTTATTGGGTACTGTGCGGAGTATTTGAAATACAGGAAAAAAGTACCATTCGGGCAATATTTCCAAAGGAGTTGCAAATGGATCTGCCGGTTCACCAATCATTGATGGTTCTAGGACTGCTAAGCCGACATTACATGCAATAGTACCTAGAATTACTACCGGAAAAATATATAAAAGATCATTGGGCCATTATATAAAAGATCATTGGGCCATGCGGGTTCCCCATAATAATTATGACCCATACCTTTAGCTAATTTAGCTCTTAATACAGGATCGTTCAAGTCAGGTTTTTTTGTTATTAGGATAGGTGAATTTTTCTAGATCCATCCCCCAAAGGAACCGGACATGATAATTTTTCATCATCCGGCTCAAGCAAAAGTCAATCGAATCAAATGGATACAAACGGATACCTATAAAATAAATCTATATTCTATATGTTTAAAATAAATCTATATGTTATCCCCACATATATGAATGGTTCCATATGTAAGAAAAAAGTTACCCGATTCCATTTTACGGAGTTGCAATTATACATTCCAAGGAATTTCATTTTTACAGGTAAATGCTCAATACCCAAGTAGGCGTACAAAATTGATCGTGATCAAGTGCTTTATGGGTCGTCTTAGGCCTTGCGATTCACCTTTATCCCAAAAATATATCGAGATTTTTTACATACAAAGGATTTACTTGTTACTAATATAGTCTAGCCTTTGCTCTTCTTTAGATCCCTTGTTTCACTCCGATAGTATAATTAAATCGGGTCGATGCAGAAGAAATGAATGCATTTTCATACTATTAAGATAAGAAAGTAAAAAAAAAACTAAAATCTAATTTTGATTATGCCAAATCACTTATTCTACTGGATCTTACGGAGCCCTATTTATACACAACATCGTCAGGTCTGATCATAGAAAAGATTCTCTTCAAGCGAACCAGCCTATCCTTTGTATGGGGCTTACACGGTGGTTGAAACAAAGACACATTTGGTTGTGAATTCCAATGTAGCAGATAAAGGCATATTTCTGCACGGCCCAATCAATAGTTCAAGTCACACACTCCCATAATCCATTTTGTGAACCAGCCTATCCTCCGTATGGGGCTTACGTAGTGGTTGGAACAAACACACATTTGGTTATTAATTCCAATGTGGCGGATAAAGGCATATATCTGCACGGTCAAATCAATAGTCCAAGTCACACACTTCCATAATCCATTGTTGTCTTAGGAAAAGTCGCTTCAACTGTTCATGTCAAATTAAAACATAATTTTTTTTTCTAATAAATCTAAGTGTAGTCCTTGGTGTATTCATTTTTTTGGACAGGGAGTGTGTGCGAGTTGTTTATTTCAAGAATAGGTTGGATTGACCCAGTTGCGCTTTTTTTCATTTTAACTAGGAAAGACAAGGTGCATGATCCAGAATTCAATGAACCTAAAGGGGCCTGAGTCATATATTCCACGGAACGGCATTCATCTTGCCAAGGTTGTATGTCTTTTTTTCAACCTACTCAAGTCCAAACCATTTGGACCTCTTAGAGGTTCTAACCAAGGAGCACGTAGATCCCAAAAATGCATAGTTTCTCCTCCAAAACGATTTTCTGTTGAGACCCCAACCCTAGAGTGAATCTACTTCGTCCGCGTCCGCATTGAGCTACTTCTCACGAAGCAGTCCATCTTAGGCGTAGGAGAGTTGGGAAGGAACCCGCAATGGTAGCAGCGCTTTTTAGCTTTCTTCAGGATTTGGCCTGAACTGTTTGGTAGATTCCCAAGCGTTACGCACCCGTTCGCCACTTTGTTCTCAACTGTTCCCACCTCCTGGGCGAGACAAGCTACCTTTAGCTAAGAGCCTCTTTTTCCTTCTACCCAGCTCCCCGAAAACAACGTTTGCGGGCAAGTCATTACTTTTACTTGTTCGCTCGACAGAAGGTCGAAAACAGTTCGTTAACAAGCGAATGTTAAAATTATTATTTCTTTTTTTTTCTAAAAAAAAAAAAAAAGGGAATGATTAATTCCACAAAAGCAAAAGAAAGAACTCATTTTTCACGAGATACAACTAGGAATTCCTATTTATTTGTTTCTGCAGGTAAATTTGGTTAATTCTTTTTGTGCTGTTAAATAGTTCCTGATGTCGAATTCTAAAAACCAGCGAGAGGTTCCCCACTCTTCTTTGATCCGTCTTAGGACCGAGTCTAGTTGATGTGTAATAGAAACTTCTTAATCCTATAATTCAACAGTTTTCTCTGAAGATGACGATACGAAAAACCCGAAAACTCTTCTTTGTGGCATCCTCCAATCGTAGGCCAGCTGAAGACCGAATAAAGTAGTTCAAGCCCACTTCTGATCTCAACAATGACATCTCAATGAAGAACTTACCTTATTATTTTATTACCCAAACGAGGAAATAGACTATCAGCTTACCACTTACTTAGATACGGTTGAAGCAGAGCTGGGCAACGAGACAGGTTGAGGTTGAACTAGGAAAACAAGCCACAAAGACGGTGTTTGACCCCGCTGCCCTGCCTCTCAGTACGTGAAAACGGAAGTTAAACTCTTTCACTATCTTACTTTGGCCCCTCTCTAGCCAAATCAAAAAATGGGAACAACCCCCGAGACACTCATGTACGGTTTTGTAATAGCGATGGGAACATAAAGCAGAAGATATTTTAGCCATTTGCATCAAGCTCAAATTTCCTTCTTGCATGCGAGCTCCTCCGGAAGCACACACTAAAATAAGAGGTAAAAATTTATTGGTAGCATACTCAATCAAACGGGTGATTTTTTCCCCTACTACGGATCCCATACTTCCAGATACTAGAATGACTATCCGACGGGATAAAACTATCTCGATCAAGATGACAGACCCATTTTCTGTACTATCAATAGGATCAATTATAACAAGTCACACACTCATATTCCGGAAATACAGAAACAAATAAATTTCGCGGTCGAACTACCGAAATAGAATGGGGCTAAAAAATCCGAGAACTAAAAGTTTCCATTTTTGTATTGAAACGCGAGGCTTCGTGATTCTTGTGAATCTAATTCATTGAAATTCCATCCAGTAAAACGGAAGAATTATAAATCTCCAAAATAATAGATAAGAATATCGCAAATAAAGCCATTGCGACACCCATCAAAGGAGTCGTTCCCCATCCAGGGGCTACCTTACCATATTCCGAATTCAATGGTTTCAAAAAATCCCCTACAACAGTTCGTCTTGGACCACTATTTTTATTAATTGAGATCTGGTTGGACTTTTGTATTACCATTCCGTTGTAAAATAAATGATCTTATCATAGATCCATGTGGTCTTGAAAATTATATAATAATGGAAACAAGAACTCTAGTCGCCATCTCTATATCTGGTTTACTTTGTAAGTTTACTGGGTTTATGCCTTATATTAAACTGCTTTGGGCAACCCTTCTCAACAAACTAAGAGATCCAATTCGAGGAACACGGGGGACTAGTTGATAGTAAAGAGCCTCCAAAATGGGGGAAGGCTCTTTACTTCAATTTAAGATAACGAAAAATCATTTTACCTTTTAGTTGGAACTTTAGGCGGTTTCTCGAAAAAACAGATATGCGAAAAAAATATTGATTCCTAGTTGAGACTAAAAGGAATTGTATAAACCAATGCTTCCATAAATTTCAATCCGTTGGTTTACAATTATAGCTTCCATACCTGTTTTATTTGGGATCTGTCTCCCGGATTAAAAAAGAACAAGATTTCAAAGAAAAGGCAGTGCTTCAAATTAAGATGTCTCAGGTACTCTTATGTTCAAAGTTTCAAATTTCAAAAAAGAAAATAGAGGGCGAAAAAGCAAAGAGATCAAATATTGTATTCACGACTACTTGTCTTTTGTAGTTTGGGATCTCCAAGGTTTTTGGAATGCTCAAATTCCACTTGGAGCGTCTAAATCGGATCAATTAACCAGCAAAAACATCTCTGAACCAAAGTTCGGAGCACCGTGCCAAATTTGTGTCGAAGAAAAAGAGCAGGAGGCAAACGAAGCATTGTTCCAAAAGTAAAAACCAACCCCTTGGACTGCTACGAAAAAACACCATCAGATTTTCACAGCTAGCACGATCTAAATTCAAAATTTCACCCAATTTGAGCGCGCTCTAGCAATATTTTTTTTCCACCAGTAGCAGGATCACTATAACTGACTTCCGTTTTAGTTCGCCCACCATAGAACTCAACAGTTACACCTACTTGGTCAAAGTCCTGTTTAGAATATAACAGGCAGTATTGACGGCCTCTGCCTAGAAATACTTTAGTAATTTAGAATCATTCAGCATGGTTCTAGCCA